CAGAGAACCAAAAATAGCAAATAACAACCGACCATTAATACACAAGATGACATAACTCAGAAACCACAGCTATGGAAATATCCAAAGTAAAATGAGCTTACAAGATTGTAAAGAGGGAACCAGAGATATCAATTGGCAAGTGACGACAACTACAAACAAAAAGAGGGAAAAGACTGTGTAGTTACAGGACTTCTAAATGGTGAGAAAGTTAAGAGACTTGCAAGATAGAATGGAGTGTTCTAAACTCGGGGAGAAAATTCTAAATCATAGGGTAACCTCAAAGAAAAATGAGAAACAAATGTGTGTGATTTCTCAAATCTTTGGGTGCACTCCCAGGAACACTCTGAGGTTTGGTACACCCATAATAACTTCCATTATCATCCAAAAATTCTTTGACTACCACTCAGGCCACTTTCATTGGGATAAGAAAGTACATGTGGGAGAGAGTGCCCACCTAGAATCCCTTGATGTGTTTCCTCTTCTGTACAATATAAAGCCTTTGACAGAGAATTTCAAAATGAATATCCTAAAATTCACCTATCTAAAGCACAAACATAAAAACTAAACAAGTAGAGAGTATCTATCCTAAATAAGATGAATTCTGGGATGACACTACCTTTCCTTAAACTTTAAGATCTTATTCCTATACCACTATTAGCTACCTAAATGTGTTCATATGTGCCAAATCACAATCCCTAAATACTAATCATTTTGTTTCCCTTCATTTAAAGAGTCTGAAGTCTCAGAAATTAGTATAATTTGGAGGCATGGTGGCGTAGTGCCTAAGGCATCTGACTGCTAACCAGAAGGCTGGCAGTTCAAACCCACCAGCCACTCCTCTGAAGGAAGACTGGTCAATCTACAGCCATACTGATACTGCCTTGGAAACTCAAGGAGGTGTTGCTATGAGTCGGAATCGACTCAAAGGCAGTGAGTTTGCTTTTTGTTATTGCTGTTCTTCCGGTATTTAAGTCATAATAATCCTTATCTCACAGATGGATGTTGTTGTTGTTATGTGCCGTCAAGTCGGACCCGACTCATAGAGACCCGTTCTTGGGTTTCCAAGGCAGTATCACTACGGAAGTACATTGCCCCATCTTCCTTCCGAGGAGTGGCTGGTGGGTTTGAACCATCAGCCTTCTGGTTAGCAGTCAAGTGCCTTAGGCACTACGCTACCAAAGCTTA